GACATGTAAAATGCGCAGAGCAGGGCTGCATGACATCTAAAGCCAGGATATTTTAGCCACTATTACAAAGAACATTCCGCTCTTGGGGGGTATTGGAGAGCAGTGCCACTCAAAGTGTGGTCTGTTGACCAGTGCCAGTTTGAGAACTGCTTGTTGTCTGTCTCCAACGAGTTAAGTTCAGAAACTGAACATGAGGTTTCACTTACCTGGTCATGGATAGGTTTACACTACCCAGCTGTAGAGTATGGGTGGAGAACTTTAACTGCAGCCAGGATGTCTGGGTTCCAGGGCACCTCTGTCCCTTAATATTTGCAGGACCTTCCACATATTACTTTACCTTTCTGTGCCTCAGTTTCCTCATCTGCAAAATGGGGTGGATAAAAGTACCTGCCTCATAGTATTACTATCGTCATCACTGCTACACGGCAGGGTCTGTAATCTGTCCATTATCTCATCAAATCCTGCCAATGACACCATAAGGGAGGGAACAATTCCCATTTTATTCATGAGAACACTGAGGCTTACAGAGATAACTTTATTTGCCCAGGGTCCGATAAATGGAGAAGCCTGGATTCCAGTTCAAGTCTGTCTGATACCAACGCCTTTATGCTTGTGTAGTGTGACTTTGGGCAGCTGACTTCACCTCTCCAAGCCTCAGTGCCTTATTTATAAACTGGAGATAAGCAACACTCACTGCACAGGACAGTCGTGAGGATCAGTGAGCAAAGAGCTTAGCACAGTTCCTGGCATATCAGTTTCCCTCCCTCCTTCATAGTATTGGCCTGCCTTCCTAATTTCCTCTCCCTGCCTTCCCTCCCTCTCTTCCTCCTCCTTTCTTTTCTTCCCTCCTTCCTTCCTTCCTTCCTTTTGCCTCCTCTTATAAAGCCTGTTGTGGACCCACAAAACTAGAGGGCACTGTTACGGTTGGGTTCGTCCCCACCAAAACTCATGTTGAAATTTGATCCCCAATGGTGTTGGGAGGTGGGGCCTAGCGGAAGGTGTTTGGGTCACGGGTATGGATCCTCCATGAGTGGTTTGGTGCCATTTTCATGATAGTGAGTGAGTTCTTGCCCTGGTGAAACTGGGTTAGTCTCATGGGAATGGATTAGTTCCTGTGAGGGTGGGTTCCTATAAAGCCAGGACGCCCCTGGGGTTTGTCTGCTTCCCCTTTGGCCTTCTCCTTCATGTTATGATGCACCGGAAAAATAACCCTCACCACAAACTAGTGCCATGCCCTTAAACTTCCCAGCCTGTAGAACCCTGGGCTAAATAAAACTCTTTCCTCTGGTTGAGAGCAGTGGCTCATGCCTGTATCCCAGCACTTTGGAAGGCTGAGGCGGGCGGATCACTTGAAGTCAGGAGTTTGAGACCAGCCTGGCCAACATGGCGAAACCCCATCTCTACTAAAAATACAAAAAATTAGCCAGCTGAGTTGGCAGATGCCTGTAGTCCCAGCTACTTGGGAGGCTGAGGTGGGAGAATCACTTGAACCCAGGAGATGGAGGTTGCAGTGAGCCGAGATCACACCACTGCACTCCATCCAGCCTGGGAGACACAGCAAGACTCCATCTCAAAAACAAACAAACAAACAAAACCACCTCTTTCCTCTACAAATTATCCAGCCTAAGGTATTCTGTTATAGCAACACACAAAAAAGGACTAAAACAGGGACCTTAATGAAACTCCAGGCCAATATGGTCATTTAACTCTCAAGGGAACTAAGACTCAGAGAGGTTAAAAGATCCATGTGATCTTTTTACACAGCAGGTGAGTAGCAGATTCAGGAAAAGAATACAGACGTCTGAGTCCCAGTTCAGTGCTCTTTCTATAAGTGATACTTCAGGAAAAGGACACAGACATCTGACTCCCAGTTCAGTGCTCTTTCTATAAGTGATACTTCAGGAAAAGGACACAGACGTCTGACTCCCAGTTCAGTGCTTTTTCTACAGGTGATACTTAGAAGGCTCCCGAGTGAGTAGAAGGAGCTTCTGAGGCCTGGCCCTAAGGGAACCTTCTGACCCTCTGAATCCTTCCCCCAGCCTCATATTCCTGAAGCCCAACCTGGAGACACTGGACTTCTTTGACCTGCTATGGATCGTGGGGATCGCAGACTTTGTTCTAAAGTACATCACCATCGCCCTCAAGTGCCTCATCGTGGCCCTGCCCAAGATCATCCTGGCCGTCAAGTCCAAGGTAGGCACTGGCTGTGACCATTAGGTAACCCCAGTCACATGGATCACACAGAGGATTCAGGGTGCCTTCTGAGGAGGAAAGAATGGATGAGGGTGGACTGATGTCAGCATATAAAATAAACAGAGCCTGAGCTCGTAGCTCCTGTCACCCACCTCTTCTAATTCCATGAAGCTGAGCATGGCTCTTTGTCATCACCACCTTGTCACACCTCTACTTTCCAAGTGCATTTCCTAAGTTAGGTTGTTCACAGCTACCCTTGATGCAATTTTCATCCACATTTCACCTGAGAGAGGGGAAAAAAGCATGTTAGCATGCTCTGGGTCCTGCTTCTCCCAGGAAAGGAGAGCCCTAATAGGTTTTGACTCTTTGTGGCTTCCAGGAGCTAATTTTATAGAGGGGAATGAGGCTCAGAAGGAAAGAGCTCCATGATTGATTAGTGATGTCTGCCACAGACCCTGGAGTGGGTAGTGAGGACAATGATGCTTTTCAGTGTATCATAGAGAAAGGCCTCCAGGCAGGTATTGGAATGAAGAGGCCTTGGGGAATAGACATTGGAGTTCAGAGGACTGAGCAGGGCTCCGACAAGGTATCACCTATAGGACATAGCGATTGCCAGTGGCTCTGTAAGGTGACCCAAAGGGAATGTGGACTGAAGCAGATGGACTAAAGAATATTTAAAGTCTCCTGCTTTCTATTATGTAAAAACAGCCATCTTTCAAGTTCAGAAAACTGACACATGTCCCAGGCATTGCTTGACAGCAGAGCAGCTTGGAAGTGACCATCGATCTTGAGTGGCAACTAACCCAACCCATGACCCCAATCTTTGGGCCTGTTTTGGTCCTCCCACCTTTCATGTCCACTCCCTTCCTCCACTGTGTGATTTAACACGGTGGTCCCCAACCTTTTTGGCACCTAGAACCGGTTTCATGGAAGACAGGTTTTCCACAGATCAGGGTGGGGATGGTTTCGGGATGAAACTGTTCCACCTCAGATCATCAGGCACTGGATTCTCATGAGGAGCGTGCAACCTAGATCATCCCTCGCATGTGCAGTTCACGAGAGGGTTCGCACTCCCAGGAGAATTGACTGCCGCAGCTGATCTGATGAGAGGTGGAGCTCGGGTGGTAATGCTTGCTCACCCACTGCTCACCTCCTGCTATGCGCCTGGTTCCTGACAGGCCACAGTCTAGTACCAGTCTTCAGCCCCGGGATTGGGGACCCCTGATTTATCTAGTCGAGCCAAAATCCTAGGCTGCTGAGGTTTTCTTAGACGAAGCCACAGCTCTGGTACCCAAAAGGCAGTGCCAGGAAATGCAAAATGGCATAAAGACAAAAAAAAAGAGATGTGGAGAAGAAAGGCCAGAGGGGAAACAACAGGCCTAGGAAAGTCCTCAGATGCCTCCCGTTTACCCTCCCCAAGACCATAATGACCAGGACCTTTTGCCCATTGAGCTCGTGCAGGGTTCCAGGTCAGCACCACGCACTTGACACTGGAAAGCAGCATGGCCTGATGGCTATGCCCATGGACTCTGGCATCAGACACATCTGTGTTCACATCCCAGCCATGCGTCTCTCCAGCTGTGTGACTTTGGGCAGGTGACAAAAACCTAGTTTCCTCATCTGTCAACTGAGAATAACAATAGCACCTTCCTCCAAAATACTCCGTTTGTAAGAACTGTTGGTTGTGGGAAATACAGAGTGCTTTGCTCCACACTCTGCACATGGTAATTGCTCAATAAGTGATTCACAATCCCTGTGTTGTCTAATCTTCATGACTGCCAGCTCTGCACTGATTAGCTGTGCAATCTTGGATGAATGACTTAGCCTCAGTGCCCTCATCTGTAAAATGGGGTAATAGTTTTTCAGCTAAATGACTTCCTCTGATCGTTTCACCTACACTCTCCATCTTTCTCACCCTGCTGTCTGCCCAGGGGGCTGACCTGCGTGAACTGTGGGCTCCTGTGCCCATCAGCTTCCAGTTGGGTTCAGCCGATGGAGAGAGAGGCAGAGGTATTTACTCCCCCAGCATGTTAGTCTCCTGTGGCTGCTGTGACAAATTGCTACAAACTTAGCAGTTTAAAGCAACATTAATTTATTATCGTTCTGGAGGTTAGGAGTCAAAAATGGGTTTTACTGGGGCAAAAATAAAGGTGTTGGCAGGGCTGTGTTCTTCCTCCGTCTTCCAAATCAGTGATGTCAGGTTGAGCGTTCTCTCCTCTCTCCCCTCTCCCCTCTCCCCTCGCCCCTCTCCCTTCTCCCCTCTCCCCTCTCCCCTCTCCCCTCTCTCCTCTCTCCCTCCTTGCCACACCTCTGCCTTCATTGTTGCATCTCCTGATTCTTACCCTCCTGCCTTCCTCTAAGGACCCTGTGATGACACTGGCCCCACCCAAATAATCTAGGCTCATCTCCCATCCTTAATCACATCAGCAAAGTCTCTTTTGCCACATAAGGTAACATTCACAGGTTCCAGGGATTAAGGTGTGGACATCAGCTGGGCGCGTTGACTCACACCTGTAATCCTAGCACTTTGGGAGGAAGAGGTGGGCGGATTGCCTGAGCTCAGGAGTTCAAAACCAGCTTGGGCAACATGGCGAAACCCGGTCTCTACTAAAAATACAAAAAAAACTTAGCTGGGTGTGGCAGCATGCACCTGTAGTCCTAGTTATTCGGGAGGCTGAGGCAGGAGAATTGCTTAAACCCAGGAGGCAAAGGTTGCAGTGAGCCGAGATCGCACCACTGCACTCCAGCCTGAGCAACAAAGCGAGACTCCATCTCCAAAGAGAAAAAAAAAACAAGATGTGGACATCATGCCCACTTCAGCAGCACATATGCTAAAATTGGAATGACACAGAGATTAGCATGGCCCCTATGCAAGGATGACACAAAAATTCATGAAGCATGCTGTTTTTTTTTAATAAAAAAAAAAAAAAAAAAATAGGGCCGAGTGTGGTGGCTCAATGGCTTACACCTATAATCCCAGCACTTTCGGAGGCTGAGGCAGGAAGATCGCTTGAGGCCAGGAGTTTGAGACCAGCCTGGGCAAGACCAACCTGCTGGCGAAACCCCGTCTCTACTAAAAATTTAAAAAATTAGCTTAGGGTGGTGACACATGCCTGCGGTCCTAGCTATTTGGGAGCCCAAGGTGGGAGGATCGCTTGAGGCCAGGAGTTCCAGACTGCAGTGAACCATGATCATGCCACTGCACTCCAGCCTGGGCAACAGAGTGAGATTCTGTCTCTTAAAAAAAAATAAATAAATAAATAAAAATAAACTAATTTTCTAAAAGATGTGGACATTTTTGGGTGGGCGCAGCATTCCGCTCCCTGCCACACCTGGTTTCCTCCCTCCCGGGTTACCATGGGTCAGTGCTATTCCTCGTACTTCACACTCAGTAACCCACTGAATCTCTACAACATCCCTGGGAAGCGGGCACTGTTATTCCTACCACCCGCTTTCTCACATGTTGAAAATAAGTCTGAACACACAGTTCCTATCACAGGCAGCTCCTCCAGACAGCTTTCTATTTAGGTCTGGTGACTGTGCCCTCCCTCTACCCTTCCGGACTAGACCACCTCTTTTTGGTTTCCACAAACCCTGCCCACACTTTTGTAAATAGCACAGGTATTAAACTCTTCAGTTACCTGATTTTAGTATGCCAGGACCCTACTCACTCTACCATGAGACTTCCCTCATGGCGTCAATGGAGTTTATGAATATTTAGGGCTGGCCTGGCTCATCGTAAGTGTTCAATACATGTTGGCTACCAGGGTGATGCTTTTAAATCACTGCTATGCCCCTCTTTCCTCCTACTACTGCTACTACCACCCTACTCTTCAAGATATACACACTTATCCCCATTTTACAGACAAAGACATTGAGGCCCAGAGATCCCCCGATAGACACTTGTCAGAACCAGGATTTGAACTCAGGTCTGCCTTATGCCAAACCGAAGGGTCTCTCCCAGCTGTCTGACCTCTGAGAATCCTAGCCAGGATTGTGTCCATAGGCTTTGTGTGCCCCTACACTGGCTTCGTGTTCTTGGGCTGGGAACCCCAGGGGGAAGCTTCTGGTTGGCCCCCTCCTTGAAACATCTGCTCTGGCCTCACTCCCTTGTTAGATAATGACAGGTCTGACCAGTGAAGGTCTGAGAGCTACACTGCCAGCTTCCTGGGTACCACATACATTGACCAGGAATAGGCTGCAGCCATCAGCTGCCTCGTCAAGGTGGATCAGCTCCTGCAAGGGGCATAGGTTGCAGCCACCTGCAGGCACAAGGCACATCATCCTCACTTGAGCAGTAACACCCCTCCCTGCACCCAGCTACAGCCAAGCTCTGACCCCAGGAACCCGGGATGGGGAGGAGCCTGGACTGAAGCCAGTGTGGAGAAGTGGCAATGTCTTCCACCTTTCCTTAGCACCTGTCAGCTGCTGGGAACTTGTTGGCTCTCCACAGCCAGCCAGGTCAGACAGAGGGGCAGTACAGGCAGAGCCCACAGAGTGGCATGTGCTAAGTGACACTTGAGAACAGATTGTCACCAATGGATCGTTTTTCTGCCTGTTCTAATTAGGACCAGGAATAACAACTGTAATAGCAAACTCTTAGAGGCCACTTAACTGTGTACTGGCCACTGTCCCAAGTACTTTACGTGTACAAACTCATTGAGTCATGACCATATCCCTGTGAACAGGATCCTGTTATTACTGCCATCCCATTTTCACAGATGTAGAAACTACAGGCCGGGCATGGTGGCTGACACCTGTAATCCCAGCACTTTGGGAGGCCGAGGCGGGCAGATCACGAGGTCAGGAGATGGAGACCATCTGGCTAACACACAGTGAAACCTCGTCTCTACTAAAAAAAATACAAAAAAATTAGCCGGTCGTGCTGGCGGGCACCTGTAGTCCCAGCTACTTGGGAGGCTGAGGCAGGAGAATCGTTTGAATCAGGGAGGCGGAGCTTGCAGTGAGATGACATCACACCACTGCACTCCAGCCTGGGCGACAGAGCGAAACTCAAAAAAAAAAGAAAGAAAGAAAGAAAGAAACTACAGCACGGAGAGGTTCAGTGACTTGCCCAAGGCCACACAGCTAGAAGTTGAAGAGTAAAGTCAGACCACCAGGCAGTCAGGCCCTTGAATCTGAGCTTTTAGTCTCTCTGCTGTGGTCAGAACAGAGGTGCTGTCCAGTTACTGCAAAGAGTGGGATATTGTACAGATTCACTTCTATAAGTAGACTCAGAGCTGAGAGTGCAAAGCTAGACCAAGGCTTCCTAGCATTCTCCCTGGCTGCCACTGCAGCTCACGATCTGTGGTCTGCAGCATTCACCACATGTGTCCTGTCCTCTTACAATTCCCCAGTTCAGCTCCTGGGAGAAGGTCTGATTGGCCCAGGTCATTTTGTGTGCCAGCTATTTCATAGGTCAGCAGCTGGCCAATGAATGGGTGCACATGGTCATGTGCCTACCCCTTGTCCAATCAGCTGTTGCCAAGGGGGAGGCAATGTCAGCTGGTATGAAAAAACATGGCTGCCTTTCAGATGGGGCCTGGGTTGAGCCAGGCAAAGCAATGAGTCATAGTAGATCCATTTTCAAGAAGGAACTCAGGATCTTCCCCAAAGCCTGGGCCTCTTCTCATTGTTCTAGATCTCAGAGTACAGCACTTCCCTCCACCCCACATTGTTTACATCAATAACCTGGAAAGGACCTCTGACTCTTTCTTCCTTGCATCTTCCAGTCAGCAACCAAGTTCTGTTCATTTTGTCTCCTCAATGACGTGGGAGCCCATCCTCCTTCTATATCTCCACCGTCACCACCCTAGTGCTCACCACCATGAGACCAAAGTAGTCTCCCTCTGTGTGTCCACTCCAACCCCCTCCACTTCATTCTTTTCCCTGCCAGCAGAGCAGGATTCTAAAAGAAAATTAATCTGATTATCCTCTCCTATCACTTCCCCTCACCTCCACCCAACTTAAACCCTCCAGGGACTGCCCTTGTGCTCAGGACAAGGACCAAGCTCCACAGGCGCAGCTACAAAGCCTACCCAGCCTGCCTCTGCCCCTGCCACCAGCATCACGCCCTGCTACTCCTTTGCTCCCCCTTTGTTTCTTCCCTCTGCCCTCCTCCCTCCTGTCTCGGCCTCTTTCGCATGCCCTTCAGACCCCCAGAGATGCTCCTTCTCCAATGGATCCTTGAGGCTTCAGTTCAAAAGTCTCTTCTATGTCCCCCTAAGTACAGTTCTTTCATAGCATTTCTGATTACCTACTTGTGTGTGTGTGTGGCGGGGGGGTTGTTTGTTTTGTTTTGTTTCGTCTGAGACAAAGTCTTGCTCTGTTTCCCAGGCTGGAGTGCAGAGGCGCAATCACAGTTCACTGCAGCCTCAACCTCCCGGGCTCAAGTGATTGTCCCAGCTCAGCCTCCTGAGTCGCTGGGACTGCTCAGTGCACCACCACACCTGGCTAATTTTTTTGTTCTTCTTGCGGGTGGAGTCTCACTTTGTTGCCCAGGCTAGTCTTGAACTGGGCTCAAGTGATTTTCCTGCTTCAGCCTCCCGAAGTACTTGCGTGATTATTACATTCGTTCCTGCCTCCTCACTATTTGAAAAGTCTGTTTGGCCCACCAGTGTATCTGTAAGACCCGGCCCAGCATTGGGCACTGGGCAGAGCTCTGTAAATGGTGAGTAAGTGAAATGGCAGAGAAACTGAAGTTAGCTCCATCCTGCCCTGTGCCTTCTGGTTTATTTTCAGCAGGTGAAAATAAAACAGGAAAGCCAGGCATTGTGGCTCACACCTGTAATCCCAGCACTTTGGGAGGCCAAGATGGGTGGATTGCTTGAGCTCACAAGTTCAAGACAAACCTGGGCAGCACGGTGAAACCCCGTCTCTCCAAAAAATACCAAAAAAATTGGCCGAGTGTGGTGTACATGACTGTGGTCCCAGCTACTCAGGAGGCTGAGGTGGGAGGATCGCTTGAGCCCAGGAGGCAGAGGGTGCAGTGAGCTGAGATTGTGCCACTGCACTCCAGCCTGGGCGACAGAGCCAGCCTCTCAGTATTCTTCTGATGTAGGTGCTAGTTACTCTTATCAATGGTTGAGGAAATGGGGGTTATGAGATCAGGTAGTTCTTTTTGTTGTTGTTGAGACAGAGTTTCACTCTTGTCCCCCAGGCCGGAGTGCAATGGCGCAACCTCTGCTCACTGCAACCTCCACCTCCCAGGTTCAAGGGATTCTCCTGCCTCAGCATCTCAAGTAGCTGGGATTACAGACACGTGCCACCATACCTGGGTAATTTTTGTATTTTTAGTTTCACCGTGTTGGCCAGGCTGGTCTTGAACTCCTGACCTCAGGTGATCCACTCACCTCAGCCTCCCAAAGTGCTGGGGTTACAGCCATGAGCCACCACACCCAGCCCAGATCAGGTAGTTCTTATAGTCACACAGCTGCTCGGTGGTGGGGTCAGGATGACAGCACAGGTCTTTACAACTTCAAGACTCTAGCTCTACCTCACCACCCTAGTGCTCTACCTCAAAGGAGTGGGTTTGGGACAAGATAAGGAAGGCACTTGAGGCTGACTCATCACCTGGTGCCTTCTGGGTTCTGTCTAGATTCTTTCTCATAGTCCAACTCTTCCAAGGCTCTCAATACCCCTGTGAGATACAACTCACTGTCACCTCTTTCTGGATGAAAAACTATTAGTTTCCTGTGGTTGCAGTAACAAAATACCAGAAAACTGGTGGCTTGAAATAAGGGAAAGCGTTGTTCTCTCACAGTTCTGGAAGCCAGAAATCCAAAATCAGTGTCACTGAGCCAAAATCAAGGTGTCAGCGGGGCTGCATTCCCTCCAGAGGCTCAAGGGGAGAATCTGATCCTTGCCTCTTCGGGCTTCTGGTGGCTCCTGGTGTCCTTGGCTTGTGGCTGT